ATGCCGAGACTGGAAGCAGTGAAAACTCCAAGAATGTATATTCATCTAAGCTTCTCTATATGCATACCCTGTATTTTTATTTTTTTTTATAGTGTAGTCGAAGTAAAAAAAAAAGAAGATAAAGAGGCCAGGTATTTTTATTTTTGTATTTGCAGTTATGCTATTTAGCTCTAATTTGTTCAAAATTATCCTTTAAATCTACACAAAACATAACGTGTTCTGTTTCTGATTTTGCTAGACAAGTTCAATCTTTAACAATTGTATTCAAAAATTTTAAGACATGTAACAATGTTTGAAACTACATTCCAGTTGTTCGCAGATAAAGAGGGTGGACTTAGCATGGTCAGTTCTTCACCGAAGGCCTCATCAAAGGAGATGGAAGGGAATGCCTTGATTGGGGTTGATAAGGTCCGTTTAGCATTTCTATATATATATATATATATATATTTATGGTTCCAATGTTTCATATATGCTAGTATTTAATTAATTATTCTTATGGTTACAGTTGCCTGAGAAGATATACCGGACTTTGGATGAATCTACCAAAATCCTAAGATTTAAAGTTCCATTCCCCATGTTTGCATACTCTATATATTTGGTGAGAATCTGTCTATCTAGTTGTTTATGACACTAGCCTCTTTGTGTTTTTGTTTTCTCTTTTCTGTTCTCATGTTCCGTTTCACAAAAATTCTCAGAAACTAATTTCGCTAAAAAATGAAAATGATGAGTATTTTCAAACTTTCCATTATTTCTTCCAAAAACAAGAACCGAAAACAAAAACACAACCAAACAGGATTCTTGGGAGCTAGTTTTGCTGACTTGATGGTGTTCCCTACATGGTATGTCAAACACATTCCATTCTCAAAGTGTTCCTAGAATTTCATTTGATAAAAAGAACGAATTTCAAATGCTCCAAATACTTCAATTCCATTTGATTCAATCTTGTTGCACATTTATCACAGATTGATTGCATTTGAAACAGTGCATTTACAGAATTGTTGTTGTCGTCGTCTCTACGTCTGCTCGAGTTGAATTTCAGATCCTCTACCTTTGAAAATATATATGTACATATGTTATCATGGAAGCTAGTCATGGATTGACATTGCCACATTGACTTTTTCTCTTTTTCCATTGACGATGGTGACATGTAGAGCGATAGTCATACCAGAGAAAAAAGATGGAAGTTTGAGTAACTCAATTGTTATCATGTATATGCGCACACAATAACCTCTGCATAACAAGTCTTTGGCAATGATATAGGTTCTCTTGGCTTTTTGACATTTTGGAATTGTGTATTTTTGACAGATTCATACATAACATCCTATAGGAAACAGAAATCTTTACATGTAAACAAATCTCTCTAGTTACAATCTAGATGGGTGCTTCTGAATCAATCCCCCCAAAATCCATTCATGATTTCTCAGTAAAGGTCTCTCTCTCATTCTTTATTTGTTTCACATACATGTTTATATGTGTTTGTTCAAATTGTTTTGTTTGGATTTTGAGAAAGTTTGGAATTTGTTTGGGATGTGCAGGATAGCAAAGGTAAGGAGGTGGATCTCAGCACATACAAAGGGAAGGTTCTTCTTGTTGTCAACGTTGCTTCCAAATGGTTTCTTCCCTTCTCTTCTCTTTTCTAAACTTGTTTATTGTTGCCTCATATTCTGCGAAATTGATATATGGGTTTAATCTTTTAACTTTCTTTTCTAATACTGGGTTTCTGTGTGATTTGTGTATGTAGGGGTTGAAACAGTGGGTTACCAAATTCAAACTATGAGGCAACCCTTGAGAGGAAAGCCCCTCAACCCTTGGGCGTATTAAAACCTTAGGCGTGCTCAAATTCTTAACTCCAAGCCTCTTTTAGACCAAGCCTCTTTTAGACCAAATTATTACTGCAAAGATTATGAAATTATTGCCGCAACAATACTACATAAAAGAAAAACCAACATCTAAAGATAGGAACTTGAGCCAATTTCCAACAAGTTCACATAAAGAGAAAGGCCATGAATCAATTAAAGCAAAGAGGATTTGACAAAGGCATTGGACAATGCATGGATTTTAGAGTGTTGTGTCATTCATTGAGCTTCAGAAGAGCATTTTAATGTCTACTTGAAATGAACCAAAAAAAAAAAAAATCTATTGTTATAACTTTGTTATTAGATAGCTGGCACTTAAAGTAACATTCAAGATCATAGATTTCTACTGCGCATTTATGTGTAAAATAATGATGGTGCCATTCAATGGTTGTGCTCTTGATTTTCAAATATTTAAATAAATAATAGGAAAGCCCAAAAAGAGAAAGCAAGATAAAAGAAAAAGAAATAGAAGGCTGGGAAATAGTTGTTAGTACTTCTAGCTTTACAACTTCTTTTGTTTCATTTTGTTTATTATTTATTATGTTTTTAACTGGTTCAACTTTCTTATTGATTTGAAATTGAAAATATGATTAAATACGTTAGATGTTACTTATGAAAGAAATTGTCTACATTGTTTGGTTTTATACATAGCAAGTAATTCCCCATGAGTAGAAACAAATGAAAGTGTATTGATTCTTTAATTAGAATGACATAGCTAGCGGTTTGTGGTTTACCTAATTACTGTTTTTGGTGAAATAAAAAAGGGGGAGGGGGGGTGTGCGCTCTCATTCCATACCACTATATATATATTCTCTACAATTGTGAATTAGAGTGAAAGTCTTTTTAAAAAGTACCTAATTACCTATAAAAGCAATAAGTTGGTCATTTTCACTTATGGTTTTTTGGGGTTGACTTTTAATGACATTTGATCATGGTCATATGGTCAGATTCTAAACTAGTGTCTAATTTGAGCAAGATGAGACATCTGGATCTAAGTTATAATAATTTTGACGAGGATGCCTTCAGGATTTTGGGTGCTCTCCCATCCCTTAAGTTTCTATCCTCAGTGGCCAATAGCATGGAAGGACCACTTTCTAACCAAGGTATGTGTATTTTTTATTTCTCAAATTCATGCTGCATAAGTTAATTTTTTTAGCTCCATTTGAGTGTTGAGAAGACTTAAAATAGTTGGAAAAATGAAGTCTTACAGCTAGCAATTTGTGCAAAATTATAATTCTTTGTCAAATATATCTTTCTGGAATCTATTACTGCCATCAATGGCATCATTGTCCTTAAATTTTTTTAACATTACATTTTCATTTGAAATTGAGCTACTAATTGAGGTGCCCATAGAATATAGTTCACAACATCAAATTATACTTATCTCTATTTTCTTTATCTCAATCTAATTAACGAGTCTCTTCACTTGGGTTACAGAATTGACTTATAATCTTAGCAATTTGGAGGTCCTCCTCCTCAAAGGAAATCTGCTCAATGGAACACTAGGCGGAATCCTTGAGGTGTTGGACAATTTTACCTTCTGCAATCTGTATGTAACTCAGGTTTGTTGTGATCCGACTCCTTTTTACTACAAATAGTATGAATGAACTAATTATTAAAAGATAAATATTTGTTGATTTTTATTAGTAACTCTCATTATTAACAAGTATCCGAACTTATATTAAAAATCCGGGTTATGCATTGACTAAATATAAGGTTATGCTTGTCAGGCAGTCATTTTAACTAAAGGGCGAATCATCCTTCACTTGGAATTTGGAAAGCCATGGTGTTGGAAGAAATGGAACAGAATGAAGCTAGATCAGGATAGTGTCAAGAGTGATGGTGCGAATTTAAAGGTGCTAATGCTGAATGCGCCATATATTGGGTCTGAAAATGTCATCCATAAAGCAGTAGTGCTTGAATAGTAGCATCAACATTAGAGGCAGACGACGAGTGCGGTTGTGGTTGTGCTGTTTGCATTAGAGGTATTGCTCTATTTTATTTATTTATTTTATTATTATTATTATTATTATTATTAGGGTAAATTACAAATACATCCCTTGAGGTTTGATTAAAATACAAATTGCCCTTGTAGTTCTGAAAATTACATTCCATCCGCTGAGGTTTATAATTTTATAACAAATTGCCCATTTTATTAATAAATCATCAAATCAATTAACAGTTTTTAACGATGTTAGAAATATGTTTCAATTAACAATTTAAGTAATTTTATTATTTTATAGGAGAGCAATTATGAATTTTATTTTTTTAATTAATTATGTTAAATAATTTTTTTTAACAGGGGGTGTTTGTAATTTTTCAAATCACGGGGTGCAATTTGCACTTTAAGCAAATCTCAAGGGGTGTATTTGTAATTTACCCTTATTATTATTATTATTATTATTATTATTATTATTATTATTATTATTGTGGTACTTTGGAAATGAAATAGCAGCAAAGAAGCAATTCAGTCCCTATATATCATGTTCTCAATCAACATGTTGCAGATCCAGTTAGGGGATCCACTTTAAAGTTCAACGAACTGTTCTTCTTGTTCATTGCCATTCTCGACAAGTGTATCAACACATTGATTGGCTTCTGTGATGATGTGGGACGTCCACATCTCTGCAGTAGGAATCTTGAATCTTTCAACGAGTGCTTTGTTTGGACAATTCAGTGGCTAGAAAGTTCTATAGCCTTAGGCACTTGTTTCTTTATAATTTTTTAGAAGGCACTGCTGGAAAGCAGATTTTTAGTGGCGTTTAAGAAACGCCGCTATATCTTTCAAAAACGCCGTTAATTCCTTTTGCGACGTTTAGTACCAAACGTCGAAGCTGCGGCCGTCGCTGTATCTTTACGACGTTTTAAAAACGTCGCGATATTAGAATAGGCGGCGTTTTTAGAAACGCCGTGAAATGTCCCTACCATGACGTCACTATGATTTTAGCGACGTTTTCACAACGCCGTCATATCTTTTTAAAAAAAATTGACCGTTGTCCTTTTGGAGTTTAGGTGGCGTTTTAAAAACGCCGTGAAATCCTCTTTTTTTTTTTTTTGAAATTATGCTAATTTTATGTGATTAAACTAAAAAAATACCTATAATAAAATTGAATAGCCGTAATATGAAATAATAACTCCCATTCAAATTATAAATGCAGCATTAATTCACTTTCCTATTCAATTTAATATCCAATCATCATTACCCACAAAATAACATATTCAAAAATTAAATTCATAATTCTCAACCAAAAAATCAGCAGTCCTATGGCAGCAAAAATCAACACCAGCCAAAAGTCACACATAGCCTTGTTCTTATCAACTAGACCAACTTGTATTACAAAAGCTTTTGTAAAATAATTTGCTTCCAAAAAATGAAAAAATGGATCATTATCCACATCCATACTAGATCTACCAGGTGTCTCTGGTGTCTCTGGGCGCACGCAAGTTTTACATGTTATAATCTGAATGGAGGAAGCTTTCATATGGCGTTCCGTAGAGTGCTCTCTGGATATCATCCCAGTTCTCAACGTGTTGGGACAATGAACCTTTGTGTATCTTCACTTGCTGACTCTTCAGATCCCTCTGTGGAACCCTCAGAAAATCTTGGACATCCTTCAATTTCTGCAAAATACATGGAAAACAGTACTTTTGTATGGAAACAGAAAGAAAAATAAAAATAAAAATTGGCATCTTTTTAGGATCAACTGTTTTATAAGACGATGAAATGTCTTACGGTGGAATTTTTTATTATGTCCTCGTAGTATAGGATAATGTGTTGGGTGCTCTTGAAGTATTCTAAAGCTTTGGCAGTCATTTCCTCTACTTGCCTCAGATTGCGGATCAGCAGTGTTGTATCGATTGTAGGTTTATAACTTGCAAGTATTTCTGCCTGAAACAGTATCACTTATTCATGACACAGAGAGAAGGAGAGGGAGAGAGAGGGGGAGAGAGAATGACTTGTGAGAGAGAGAGACCTCATGGGATGAATGCACATGAGATTTATGTGTTCCGTTCAGTGGCTTAGCATTTTGATCGTAAGAGTTTGAAAGAATTGAAATCATCCTGCGCAGAAGATTTCTTCTGAAGAGAAAAATCAATGAAACGCCCTTGGTATTGAAATATTCTACAATTTCTTCATGATGCTGCATTAAACCCTGCATTTAAAATAAAAAAAATAAGGAAACCGTACTGTGGTTACATCAATTCAACATGCATGCAACAGAGGAAATTAACATTACAAAACTGAATTATAAGTTCATACACATTATTAATAACATCAGTAAGTAATGAGTGTGGTCAAATTGCATAATTTCAAGGTTGTCCGTGTCAGAAAGATGGAAAATTTAGCGGAAAACATGTTTTTTTAACAGGTAAAATTCTGCAAAATGAAAATTACAATGTTATCAATCTTCTGTTTAATCTGTTGCAAAATAACAGTTTAATCATTTGCCAAAAAGAAATTATGAAAGTTTGAAACTCATACTATATTCAGCACATTTAAAAGAAGACCATGGACCTCACAATTGAGTAGTAATAACTTGATCCACAAGAAGGTTTATCAACTCCAAGTCTGATTGCAGCATAAAATCAACACATCTGAAATGGGACAAGTATATGGGGGGTGTTTTAGCTAAATTGAGCTTAGCTTTTTCAATTTGGATGCAATGTATAGACTCCGTCAACCAATCCTAAAGTCAAGGCATTGAACTAACTGTCGCTATAAGTTGCACAAACAATTCTGGGGAGAGATTGTTGACAGCGATGTTTTAATAAGTTTAGAAAATACAGTTTTAGAGGAATAAGTCCACAGAATGATTTAGAACATACGTCATCGAGCAGAATTACAGAAATTTTGACTTTGCCAGAAAAATTAGATTGTATGTTTATTGGAACCAGGATTGGAAAATTTGGGGGCTAATTCTCGGTCAAGACACATGCGATTACTTTATTTTAGTACATCAGGTAAAATTTACTTTGTAATTAGAACATTTGAGAAGTGCCTCTGTTTGTTCATCCAGAGGAAGTCCTTTTCCCCATTACTTTTCTTCCTCCTACACTCTGTAGCTCTTTTATTTAAAACAAAGAAATAAGTAATATTAATAATTTGAAACCTCCCATGTCAATAGATGCGCATTGAATTAATTAGGATTTTATTCGATGGATCTATAACACCACCTCAATCTCTTTGGTCATTACGTTTAGAGTGGTGCAACTCCTGTCTTTCTCCTATTTGTCCTAGTCATTCATCTTGGAGGAAATATTAACCTCCATTATTGTCACAACCCTCTATTCATGTATAAGAGTGCATGAGGATTATATTTGTTTGTTCTCATAAAGAAACACCCTATTTACCAATAGTGTGTGGAATATCTGTGATTATACTCAACATTATGTAATTGTTCTATGCAATAATTAGAAGATTACAGCAGGTTGCCTAACAAACTCACACCTGAAAAGCTTAATTGCTTGTCAAGATAATTCAATCTTCCAATCTAAGCCTAGTTTGACATATATAAAAATATTTATATGATAATTAATCTAGGGTGCTTTTGTCAGTGTAGCGTGGAACAGTTGACAAAACTATAAAATCAAACAATCATCATGTTCAGAGTTTGTATCAACTCTTAAGCAACCCAAGAATGAGGAGAGATCTGATTATTGAGACTTACACACTTCAGCTATGGTAGACATACCTATAATAACTACTAAATTGATGGCAAGTTATCTCATATGGAAAAATTGATAAACTAATTTGTAAGACAGGAAAAAGTTGAATAATTCCACCAAGGCATCACTCACCTGATTAAGCATCCATTTCAAGCCAACTGCAGCGGTGCACTCATTCTTGGAAGCACTGGTCAACCAGTCAAGATTGTAGATTTTATCCAAAGTTTCGACTATTGTTGAGATATTACTCCTCCGGACTTTTACAGAGAAAATCTCTCCATTGGAGCTTATGTTTATATGACTATTTAATAATGTCTCAAACCATCCACTCCCGGATCTCTGAGTAGAGATTATGGCAAAATATCTCACCGGGTTGCATTTACACTCATCCCTAATTATTCACATCACCATATATCAGTACATTGATATGAAATATAGACTCAGAATGACAATAATTAATGCCTTACCTGCTAAAAGTTTTGGGTTGCGGATAATGCACATAAAGTTTTTCCCATGTTTCTATAATAGGTGGCTCACACGGTCTTTGGATCACTTGAACATTTAGCAATCCAAAATTTGTGCGGGTACTGATTTGCTTTAGACAGATTGAGCAGATATAAAGACCACATAGCATTGCAAATGTCAAGACAATCATTCTCAACACCAACGAGGGTTTCTTTGGAGCCTTCGTAATTATAGTATCCTGAAATTGGATTTTATCTATCAGTTGTTAAACCGTAATTGATGTAGTACTTACAGATATTGTAATACTTCATTCCAATAGATTAACCTCGGTATCTCACCAATAAGCTGGTTACGAGCAAGGTCCCTACAGAATAAATTTACACAAAGACAAGGCATACATATATATTAGCACAAGTGTCTATGGCTTTGGTGTAAATAAAATCAAAAAAGCATATGGTAATGTTAACTGCATGGACTCCACTAAAAAATAAAAAAATAAAAAAATTATGACTCACAGAGTTTTGAGGTTGGGAATCTGTGTTAATGTTGAAGGGATAGGACCAGTCAATTGATTGTTCTTCAAATTCCTGCATTTACAGAGCTTATTCAAGCCCTTGGTTGGCAGAACTAAAAACTTATCTATCTTAAACAATCCAGCATATTTAATTAATAGTACTTCACTTCAGGTATTAACTTACAATAACTCAAGCTGCTTAAGCTTGGATATTGAGAATGGTATATCTTCATACAGTAAATTATCAGATAAATCCCTGCATTATGGAAACCCAACCATTAAAATAAAAACTAAAAATCTTAATCACCTAAAGACAGAAGAAGAAAGCATAGGAAAAATATATATAAACACCAAATCAACAGGAAGAGAATACCGTTGGGGCAACAATTATGTGCATATTCACTTAAATGCAATTAGGAGGAGAATGGACAAATTCACTGTTATGTAACCAGGAAGAGAATATACATATTCAACTACAATTAAAAGAATAAACGCCACATCAATCCTAATGAAACGGGCAAAAGTTGGGAAGTTAAAGATGCATTCTGACCTTAAGCAGCTTGTGAACGAATTGAATAGCATCACTTGGTCCAAAAACCTAACAGTTGTTAACAACATCAACTTTATAATAGAACTCGGAAAGTGTGTTGACAAAATAGTTTTAAAATGAAGGCAAAAGAGATAGTGGACAGATGATATACCCCCCACAGGATCCGATACAATAGTTTTTCCTGTAGTGATATATTGTTTTTGGAAACACAAAAATTATCACAGAATCCGACACAATTTTTTTACTAAATTAGAAGTTTCTGCCTAGTTCTATGTTCTTTGTATTTTTCAATAGATAAATTTTTTCAAGAATTTTGCTAACAAACACTGTCAAATCTTGTCCGTTGAAGTGTATTGTGTCTCATTTTCTATTATTATTATTATTTTTAAATGATGTATAAGTGATGATGAATAGAATTTGAAGGGTGATGAATTAATTGTTGGGTGATTATTATTTTGTTATGTAGGAGTGAAATCAGTGGATATAAACAGGAAGCAACAGAAGGTGACAGTGAATGGATATGTTGAGGCAAACAAGGTGTTGAAGAAGGCAAAGTCAACAGGGAAAAGGGCTGAGATATGGCCCTATATACCCTACAACCTAGTGACTCAGCCCTACGCAGCCCAAACTTATGACAAGAAGGCACCTCCTGGCTATGTCAGAAGGGTTGAGAACCCAACCAGTGCCACTGTTACCAGATATGAAGATCCCTACATCTCCATGTTCAGTGATGACAACCCAAATGCCTGCTCTATCATGTAGCTCCGCCTCAACTCATCAGCATCAATCTTCAAATACTTCAATATTAAAATATATATCCAGAGAGAAAAGTGTCTAGAATTTAAATGTAAGGGGTAGATTTAAATTTTGTGTCGTGTAGGTAAAGCATGATGTATCATGATCATTATAGCATTTTTTAATTTGAGTTTTTTTCTGAATATGATATAGTAACGTTGTTATGAACGAATATTGAGTGCTACTTGTAGGTCATTTTTGTTTGCTCACATGTTATCTAGATCCAGGCTTTTATTTTTGTTTTTTTTTCTTTCCTTCTTTTTATCACAAAAGATAAAAAAAATGTTTCTTTCTTTTGAGGGTGCTTTTGTAACAGGGTTAGATGCAGAAATCTCTCTTTGCAATACATGCATGAATGTTTTAACTGTTATTATAGGGAAACAGATGCAAAAGAAGAGTATATAAAAAGAAAGCTCATGATAGTAAAGTGGCATCAGGCAAACAATTGACAGGGCTATGTTTTTTTGTGTTCTTACTACGAGATGGAAAGTACTGTCATAATATTATATAGAATGTAAGCAACTATTCCGAAATCAAAACAAAGCTCACTTAACATTAAAAGGAAATAAACCACCTAAGCATCTTGAACCTTTTACACAGAATTAACATTATGAGAATATTTCTTTCTGTAAAGGGAATAACTCTCAATATAGATATTGAGATAATTTTATCACAATAAATTCGATTTTTTCGAGAGAAAATTCATTGAACATAATATTGAATGTAATAGACTATAATATCTGTCATTCTCAACATGAATTACAACTGGAACGAATTCATCACAAAGTAAGTTTACGGGGGGCACATTTGCAGGAAGGTGGATTGAGTACCAAAATTATGAATATTTTAAACCACCATGCCCGCGTGTCTAAATAGAACGTTGGATTTCTCGCAGATACTCAGACATATAAATCTTTTACAAGTGGTTCAGACATGAAACAGAGAAATTGGGGGCGAAGATCTTAGCCTATACAAATAACAGTGATAACAGTATTTACATGAATATGATTAAGAAGGTGGTTACTTGAATGCATTGCACTGGACCTATGCCGAAAACTGAAGCCAGATAATCACCGAATTAATTCTTGCATGAAAAACTAACATATTACTCAAAAAATTAGCAAGAACAATCAAAATGTTGAGGTGGTTTTAATTGTTAAAGACCACTCAGCAGAATTGCTTGTCTATAGATGTAGTAACAATCCACGCAGCAACAGTGCAATTTAACAAGCCGATGCTACTCCAAAATATCCAAATTTAAAGATTCTAGGGTTACAGACATCAATTATTCGTATTATGTATATTTATCGAGGTCTAGGGTTCGGGAAAGAGTACAGCGGCGATCGCGTATTGGTGTATATCTATTACCTGTGAAGCGCGGAATGGACTATGCATGGCTTGGAAATGTGTCTCCCGGTCGATTGGAAATATGTACAGTTTTTAAATAAGGTCGACTGTATATGAATTCCCGATGACAATATGGTTGAAGAGATCTCGAGTGTGAGAAGGATTGACAATGATTCGAGAAGAGTGATGGGGAAGAGGAAGTGGACTTCACATGGGTGAACAAGGAAGTGTCGAGATTGGAAGATTGTGAAACTCCAAATGTGCGAAGCTTGGAGGGACTGGAGACTTACCATCTCTCTGAACTTTGGTAGTCACTGGCAGTTGGCGGCAATTATAGGGTTAAAAGGCCAGGGCAATTCATATAAATTAGGTTAATTTACAAATTGGATATAATAGAACGCCCTATACATCATCAATGTGAACTAAGCATCTACCAGATGCAATCTCGGTAGGGGGTAAAATTATGAATCGTCTTATTTTAGATAATAAACATTTGTAGTACCCTTTTTTTTTCTAGAAACAACATCGTTGCGTATTAAAATGAAAAGATTATAATTATCGGAGTAGTATTTAATTATTTCTATTATAGATGCAGTTATTACATTTTAGGATATAATACCATGTTCAATATTTATCCGAAATATGTAAATTCCGTTAGATGATCTTACAAGTTCGCTCAAATTCTCACCAAATTTGAGGGAAAGCATGTTAAGTTAATCGATATATTTGATTCTACTTTGCTTGTCTAGTTAGATTAATTAACTTAAGTCTAGTAGGAAAAACATACCTTTTCATCCTGTTGTTTGCCCCATTCTGTACTTTATTATTTGTGTTTCATCGTTAATACTGTTACACTAAACTCTAATTCCATCATAACCTAACCCACGGACTACATCCACCCC